AGAAAAAAAGAAAAAAAAAAAAAAAAAAAAAAGTCAATGGAGAAGCAAACCTCGATCAATAAGAAAGTTGGACCCAAAAGGAGCCTCTCGTCCATGAACCGTCAATTTCATCAAATCTCCATCACAATCCACCTTGGGTTTCATTCCAAGTAGCCTTTCCACTGTTGGAGTAAACCGGGTGTTTAGACCATAAACCTGTTCCCAAAGAGGCTGCAGCTTCATCCAGCCTATTGACCGAAGATACAGAAAATGTGAACAGAAAGACAACTCCACATTGGAATAGTTAACATGCTATTAAAAATGAAATCTCTTTGCAAGGATGTGCAAGAATCAAAGACGTTTTGAGCGACTAACAATACGGAATATAACAACTACAAGTATTCATCTTGTTAGGGTTTAAAAACCACCTGATCTTTTATTCTATAATGTAGTGACTTAAATCGATACAAAATGCATTCAGCAAATCACAGGGACATCTTTACCTGAATCATCTGACTGGTTTGCATTCTCATGGGGTTGACTGCGAGAACTGAAGTCCGAAGAAAACCTGACTCTACCACCACCATGTGATTTTGAAGCTTGGTCTTGCCAAATGAGAAGGCGCCCAACCTGTGCTCCAGATTTCGGCTTCTGGTCCCCTCGATCAAATGACTCTCTTGTGCGTGCATTCTTATCAAAAGAGCCAGCTGAATCAAGACGTTTTTCCTCATTAAATATCACAAAACTACTAATTTTAATAAAGGTAAGCCAAATAAATATACAACACGTCAGGATTGGTTTCTCTTTAAACGCCATTCGACAAGGCCGTTTTGCACACGCACCACACCAGTGTAGCGTGTCGCAAAACCCCGGCCCATCTCAAGCAGCTGAAATATACAAGATCTTACTCTACAATTAGGGCACGCCTGGCAAATCAGAGGCACCTGTTCAAAAGCCTAGTGAGGGGAAAGAAGGGCTGTGCATGAGTATGTGAATTTATCCACCTGTTTGTGTGTGTGTGTGTGTGTGTGTGTGTCTTGACTACCAGTCAAGTTTTAGACTGTAAGATTTTTTTTTTTAAATGTTTTTGAAGTAGCCTCTTCTGCTGACCGGGGCCCATTCTTCGTACGTCGCTTATTACATCCGAGATGATATCATTGCGCTCATCCGGATCTGGTTAATTCGGTTCCGAACGCACCTGTTGTTGATGATTGGTATGGCTGGATTAAGTTATATGAGATAATTGAGCGTTCATGGGTTGGTTTAAATGGGATATGTATCGATACTCGAAACCACGATCAGCAATGCAGCGATTGGCTGGCAGCAGCAAGACAGCAACGTCATGACATCATATAATTAAAAAAGACACCTGACAAATTTTTGTACTTTTATAAGGAAACAGCCATGCGAACAAAACTACATAAATGTTATAATAGATCAATGAAATGTGCACTGTTTATATTTTAATTACATTTTTTACATGATTGTCAATTATTTATATTCACGATTTCTAATATTTGCACAGGCTTTACATTTTTATTTCAATGTAGTAATTAGCAATTCATTTAATTGTATATTTGAACAGATTTGTTACGTGACCGCATTAATGAAAGTTTCTTAAGGGTCAAGATCATGTGATCTGCATCTCCTGCGCTCCATCAAGCCACTCCCACAATATCTGTCATCACTCAAATGAATGCACGACTCTATATTATCTGTATAGCATGCGTGTAAGACTCGAATACAATTATGAAGTAATAGTTTTATGACGAATTCATCTTACAGTGAGTAAAACTGGCTGTGTCTATAGTATTAAAGACTATATTATTTTTAAATTAATTTTTAAATTATTATTTTAAATTATTGTCCCTGGATTAGTAGGGTACTCTTGCAATGTGAGCCAAACTTAAACTACTTCAGTCTGTGTGCATTTAATTTATTTAATACACGAGTTTCACAATTTGAGTTGAATTACTGAAATAAATGAACTTTTCCACGACATTCTAATTTATTGAGATGCACCTGTAAGGCTATATTCTTTTCGTATAGTCTATATAATGTAGGCCTACATATGTTTGCCGGTTTAAAAACTGGATGGCATCCTCAAATGTCAAATTAGATGTTGTGACGTGTAATGCATACTCAGTCTTTACATCAGATAAACTCATTTTACCAGCAAGAAGATTAAACAGTCGTCTGAGGTGGTGTTTGTGATTATAGCGATCCCTTCAGGCTTACCCATGTCAATTACAAATAATGAGCTTAGCGAGTACTGAAATCAAAACGATATTCTTTAATATCAACATGGAAGTTCACATACTGAAAACTGCTTAGAAAAAAATGTTCTGATACCTACCATGCCCTACACTGTCGTTTGTAGATTTCATTTTCTTCATTTTGATAGGAAGATGCTTGAAGACAAACAAGTAACCAAAATCAATTTTCTGGTTGGAATAGGTTTATTTGATCTGTCTGTAAACAAGGTGGTTAAATCATGGCATTTTTTTTCTTTCCTTCCACGCATATTGAGTTGAATATCAGCTGGTCAGATGTAAGAAGGGAGAGAACTAGACAATTTTATCTTTTCTTTAATCTGTACATTTTCCACATGCCCTGGAGGTTGAATTGATGCCAAATATCCTAAAGGTGCCACTGAAGAATTGACTCCTCTCACAGGGCAGCAGTTAAAATCCATCTCACAGTAGCAACAGATCAGATCTACATTATGGCACAGGATACACAGCTTTATTTAACAAGTTTCCACAATACAACTGACTTCAACTAGTGGTCTTTTTCCAACTAATATCACCATATCCCAGAAAAAGTTAGTGTACACAGTTTACTTCAGTATCTTTTTTTTTGTCTATTTAATGAAGCATTTGTACCGTGCTATGACAGTTTGATACATCGCAATTAAGTAGTTTACAAGGCAATGACTTCCAAATGGTTTCATTCTTGAAAATAACAGATTAAAAGTCAAAAATTTTTTAAGAATTTTGAGGTGATGTTAACAATAAGACTGCCATTTCATCTATTCAAGACATTCATGAGAGGAATTATCAGGTAGTTATATATTTGGTTTTTAATTTCAAACTGTTAAGCCAGTAATAGTGTTTAATACAAACGAGCTTGGTGTTACATCGTGTATTTAAAGTGTTGAAAATTTAGTGTTATAAAGTCGGCAACAGATGAAGCTAGCAGTCATCCTTCACAACAATAGTTTGGAGCAATTCTGTTAATCCCACCAGATGCAACAAAAAAATTGGTCCTATTAGAGAACCCAAAGTGAAATGGACAGAACTAGAGGTACATTGGGATGGCAGCACTTTTTGTCTTTAAAAAAAAAAAAAAAAGGACAAACAAAAAGAAAAACATTTTACAGGAGCTGGCAAACAACAATTATAAGTGCCTGAGCTATTGTAGCAATGGAATGTCCATACAGTCCGGGATGCAAAGGCTCTTGGGGAACAACTTAACCCAAACCTTGTATATGCTGATCTGCCACCACATTCAGAATATTCCAACATTAGACCAATGACTTACAAGACCACATCCAAATACTACAGCAAAAGCATTTGATATAAGGTTCTCAAACTAAAGAAGGTACAGGGCATATAATAGTAGCTGTGGCGAAGGTGGTGCAGTTCACGAGGGCAGGGGCAGAGGTGCTTACTAAATGAATTCAGGATCAAACCAAGAAAAACAATAATAATAATAAAAAAAATAAAGTGTTACATGACTGGTTATCTTCATTCTCAAAGCTGAGACAAGGTGGTGTAGTTACTGGAAAATGATGATATTGACCTAAAAGATATGCATGCACTTTTTCCATCCTGGACATGCTGTATACAAGGAAGACCATGAGAGCTCAACAAGGGCTCAAAGCACTTGAGAGGCATCAATCTATCTTAAGCTGGTTCAAAAGCAGTGCCTAAGGGGAAAAAAAATTGGACAATGTAGTGACTTTACTTGTGAATTTACACAAATTATGGGTCGTCCAAATTTTTTATTATTATTTTTTTTTAATCTTCATTTTTTACATCTATGGTATGTACAGTAGTGTTTGTGATTGAACCTTCATAAAACCAACATGCTTGATTTACTGTGGCACAAAAAAAGATGTCAAAACTTGGAAAACTAAAGGACATGAGCATTAAACAAAAGGAGAACTCCATAAAAGAAATGGACAGATACGATTTGGAGAAAGACAACGATGCATCTACTAACTGTTTCTGGTAGTGCTGTCAAGTTGACAAAAAGGGGGCGAGGATGAGGGTAGGGGTGGGTGAGTGGGTGGGAAGTGTGGTGCGGTGTATTAAAGTGAGCTGCTGTGTGGATGGATGGGAAGGGGCTGCTTTAGTATCCAACTTTCCTCAGGTACTCAGCCATGCCAAATGCTTTCTTGTTGAGCAATCCTCCGTGGGTACCTTCCTTTCCCATGACTATAACCAATACTGGAGTACATAAGGAAAGAAAAGAGATGACAAATGAACAAAACTGAAAAAAAAAAGAAAAGAAAAAAAGTCTTTCCCCCCCGATGACACGGGGACATTATAGGATATTATCACCATTCTTCCCTTGATTGCTATTAAATTTTTTCAAGACATTAACTGCTTGAAGGAGAAAGCTTAACAGCAAACTTCTTTCTTCTTTCTGTCCCTCAAGTGAAACTAAACAAGCTTAATTACATTAGAACCCTGAATCCCTCAAGTATTTTGCCATTGAGTATGCCTTCTTATTCAATCCGCCTCCATGGACCCCTTCTTTGCCCATTACAAGAACCAAGACTGAAAGAGAAGAAATAGAGAAGGGGAAAGTTGAGAAGTGCTGTGGTTAAGGGAAACAAGGGAACAGTCATGAAACAGAGGAGAAAGAGAATCACAATTGCGATCAGAAGCGTTTGCATGCACATGCGCTTCACCATTAAAAGCAACCAAGTAGAGGAACGTTATTCAGAGTATTTGACAGGGAGGTCTGAAGCTGGCTGCTTGAGCTTTGTAGTGACATATTTTAGTGTACAGGAAAGAGGAAATAGGAAGGGGAATTTGATGCTGCCACATTCCAAAGGACCTTCAACCCACCCCACACACCCTAAATCCCTTCGAAACGGAGTTACCTTGCTACGATATCTCTGAGAGACTTTCGTAGGACCACACTGACACTATGTTGTCTACTGAATGTGTGCTAAAACACGCTGGGTGCAATACAAGCAACCCAACTTTGGTTATGAATACAAGATCTTTAAAACTCACCACTGGGATTGCGCAAATAATCAATGTCTACTTGATTTATCTAACATGGATAATAGGGTGTGGAGGGGTGTTTACCGCACAACCGGATGATTGATAGCTCCAGCTCGAATTCTTTAAACAGTGATAGGGAGAAGGAAAATCTCACACGCGTTAGATCAAGAGAAGCTTGTACATGCACAGCGCTGAAATCCAGCACTTGGGTGATTTTCAGAAAGGAGGAGTGCGGGACAGAAGATTGCACTGGCTTTAAACTATACCTTCCTTACATTCAAAAAGAGGACCACAAAGGCAGACTGTATGAGTGGGCACATCTTAGCATTAAGGGTCATTTTCCTAAATTAGCTATGAAAAAAAGATTTATTAGTGAAAAAATCATAAGGAATTAAGACGTTTCCCAGAGCTAATCTATACTAATACTTGTTCTGAGCAGACACAGATACCTAATAAAATGAATGAATAAAATCATCAAGTGCTTGTCGGGGGTTTTTTGAATATATTTGTGCACTAAATTGAACATATTACACGTATAGTTTACCTTTGCCAGCTCTGCCTATGGAAACATTGTATGTCGGCTCTCCATTATGACTTTTTGTCCTGATGTCCATTGTCCAGTCCCCTTCCACATTAAGGCTGTCTCTGATCACAGAGCACTTCTTTTTCCCTAGAGTCATCCCACTAGTGAAGAAGCCCTCTCGGTCTTTGCCGATAACGACATCGATTTCATCGGGCTGAAAAATGAAGCATTAAAAAAGACACTTGTTTTAATAG